TAGGTGTCTTTCCTCTGGTTCCATTAGAAACCGACACCCTCTTTTCTCTGTCATGTGTAGCACTAACATTGGGAGTCACAGAAAAATGTGCTCCTAGCAGATGGCACTTGTCAAGTACTTCAGAAGAATGATGGTGACTTTCAATGAAAAAGATGACATAAAAATATAAAAAATGTTAGTATTCATAGGGCATCATTTCTTGAATTATTTAAAATGAGACTTTTCTTCCCCTCCCCCCCCAGAAAGCAATATCTAATCGCAGTAGAAGACTGTAGAATACATGGCAGAAGGAGAAATGGCCAAGCTCCAGGATTATGAGGTCACTTAAAAGTAGCATTACTGCTGATGAGCAGCTTTAAAAAAATACAGAATGTTAAAAAACATATTACAGAGGCAGAACTATAATTGCAGTTGATTCCAGTACCAAATAAGCTATACAGAGGAGCAACAAACTCAGAGAGGCCAACGCAACACTCATAGGAAGGTAAGAAGTTGAATTTCCATAGGGGAGAGGGCGAAACTGAAGAATTTCACGGAATATTTAGAAAGCAGAACACCCTTTTATTTTAGAAATACTCAATTTGATCCATTACTTTTATCCCTCTACTAAGAACAAATATATCCATAACTTATAATTCTAAAGCTCTTATAAGAAAGATGGATTTAAGAAGATTTGCAAGCCCGGCTGGTGTGGCTCAGCGGTTGAGCATCGACCCATGAACCGGGGGTCACGGTTCGACTGCCTGTCAGGGCACATGCCCGGGTTGTGGGCTCCACCCCCAGTAGGGGGCGTGAAGGAGGCAGCCGATCGATGGTTCTTTCTCACCACTGATGTTCTTATCTCTCTCCCTCTCTCTGAAATCAATAAAAACTTACTTAAATAAAGAAGATATGCAAGAAATGATAAGTTTCCACAGAAAAAGAAAAGAATGGTCTTCGAACCCAACGAGGCTGTGGGAAGCAGTCGTCTTGCCCCATGAGGGCCGTTGTTCATGTTGGCTCTGGGACAGACATTTGTGACAACTTCTGAGTTTTTCCTGGGCCCTTCAGCCCTGTGCCCATGTCCTGCTGGTACCTTGGCCCATTAGTACTGCTGCTCCCTTTAAAGGTCATAATCTGCTGAGGGAGGGGACCTGCTATCATATTAGGCCCGGACTCGGCGTGAGCAAGCCACGCCGTCGAAAAGGCACCGCGAAGCCAAAACTGCAAGCGCGGCCTCTGACTGCCTCTGGCTTCCAGTGCGAATCTGCTCCGCGGGCCGCCAAACCTCGGGTAAACATACATGCTCTTTTGTGCAAAGCCTCTATATAAAGAGAGATTTCAGGTGGAGCTTTTCATATCACAGGCATGTGTTTGGATCCTAAATGCAGCAGGCCCCTCTCTCAACTAAAACACCTAGAAAGGAGTCATCCTTTATGACAGGGTCACACAGGCTCACAGCTCCCCGGGCTCATGCTGAAGCACTTGGTACAGGCCTCCCAACCCAAGAGAGCTCTGCTAAGAGTCGGGGTCAAATCAGAACATCCCTGCTGTCCTGCCCACGGAGGGACAGACGAGAGCTGCCAGGCCTGCCCCCCGGTGCCTCTCTGTGCCCTGCTCTGGAGACAGCCCTGCTCGCCTACTGCTCCTTACCCCCCGGAACAGAGCTGTAAGCTGTGCCTCGGGGACCCCCGAAGAAGATTTCAGCTTCAGCTCATCAACCTCGCCTTTCCCCAAGTGATTTCCCCCGGTTTTGCCCATTTCCTACCCTGCCTCCTTTGCCTGGGGACTATACTGAGACTGGGCTTGGGGACTACTGAAATTCAGCCTGCAACCAATTGTCTTCCTTCCTTTCCTTGGGGAAACCACCGCAAGACCAGCTTTGCAAAATAACCGAGAGAGCAGACAGGGCCCTGCAGACACGCGTGGGTGCTAAGCCATGACCCCGGGGCGACGTGGGGGGAGAAAAGACAGGAATGATAGAAGGGCCTGAAAGATGCGTTAATGTGGGGCACCCCAGCCGGGTAAAGAAAAGTTCTTTTTTTCCTTCTTTGTAAACAGAACAAAATGCAGCCGAGAAACTGGAGCAAAGGAGCCCTGTCCTCGCGTGGGACGAGCCTGTCCCCCCCCGCCCCCCCC